TATTTAAAGGGCCGTTTCATTTAACTAAAAAGAAATGTCATAATACTAATGGTCAGATTTGACTTAGCAAGCAGAGTTAATAGAGATGGTTCAGTTTAAATATTTAGTACTTTACTGTAAGTTACAGTGTGGGACCATTATTTGATAAGCGCCATCATATTCTGTGTCCATAAGAATAGCAAAGTATGATGTAAACCTGCAACAGCGCCTCCTACAGTCACAATGTGCAGTGGTCACAGAATATGGTGTAACGTCCCTGTTGGCGAGAAGCGAATCTTGAAGGGGAGTTAACGTCAGCTAGCCAGACTGCATATTTCCAAATGTTGGCACATTTGACGGCACTAAGTTTAATTGCTGGTAAAATTATTAACCACATGCAGACATTGTTTATTCTAAATAAGGTAAATAACAATCTCTCTGAAAGACGATGGAAGAGATTTCATTTTGTAATGTTTTGCTGAGAATTACATTTTCCTCTCCTGGGGGTTTCTGTGGGCTCTAGTGTCCCTTATAAGAAAGAAGGCTGACAGGAATGTAGTAAGGAAAGAAATGCGGCAAATATCATCGGGTCCGGAAATCAAACCCGTGACGGCCGTGTGGAGGATTGAAGGCCTCCAAACGTGGGTTGTGCTACCACAGCACGCCCCCTGATGAAGAACATTTTCATTTTAGTTTTAGTTAATTAAACTGATGGGTTCATTGTGTGACCTCACATTTTGACTTTTTTTTCCAGATTTCCCACAAGGCAGTGTGTGCAAAGAGGAGGAGGATCTAAATGAGCTCAGAAACCCAGAGAGAAACTTCACTTCAGATCAAGATCATCCAGAACCTCTGCAGATAAAACTGGAACAAGAGGAACCAGAACCTCTGCAGATGAAACAGGATCAAGAGGAACCAGAACCTCTGCAGATGAAACGGGATCAAGAGGAACCAGAACCTCTGCAGATAAAACGGGAACAAGAGGAACCAGAACCTCTGCAGATGAAACTGGATCAAGAGGAACCAGAACCTCTGCAGATGAAACTGGATCAAGAGGAACCAGAACCTCTGCAGATAAAACTGGAACAAGAGGAACCAGAACCTCTGCAGATGAAACAGGAACAAGAGGAACCAGAACCTCTGCAGATGAAACTGGAACAAGAGGAACCAGAACCTCTGCAGATAAAACGGGAACAAGAGGAACCAGAACCTCTGCAGATGAAACTGGATCAAGAGGAACCAGAACCTCTGCAGATGAAACTGGAACAAGAGGAACCAGAACCTCTGCAGATGAAACTGGATCAAGAGGAACCAGAACCTCTGCAGATGAAACTGGATCAAGAAGAACCAGAACCTCTGCAGATCAAAGAGGAAGAGGAGCAACTTTCCATCAGTCAGGATGAAGAGCATCTTGTGATGAAACAGGAAACCGATGACATTTTGAACAAACAGCAGAAAAACTCAACAGAGACTTCAGAACAAGAAACGCACATGAAAGCTCAACCAGAACAAAATCTATATTCCTGTAAAATTTGTGATGAAACCTTTTCTCAAAATAGTTCCTTGATGAATCACATAAAAACTCATACAGCTAAGAAACCTTTCAAATGTTCCACCTGTGGAAAAAGTTACCCTTACAAGAGTCGTTTAAATAATCACATGAGAATTCATACAGGTGAAAACCGTTCACTTGTGCAGCTTGTGGAAAATGTTTCCATCTAAACGACTCTTTAAACAGACACAAGAGAATTTTCTTTGGTGAGAAATCTTACACATGCACAATCTGTGGAAAAAATTTTGTGTCTAAATGTCAGTTACTTCCTCATATGACGATTCATACAGGTGAGAATCCTTTCTCATGTGAGACCTGTGGAAAATGTTTTCAGAAGAAATCTCATTTAGTTAATCACATCAGAGTTCACACCGGTGAGAAACCTTTCTCATGTGAGACCTGTGGAAAAGTTTCACTCAAAAGCAAAGTTTAACTGTTCACATGAGATCTCACACAGGTGAGAAACCTTTCTCATGTGGGATTTGTGGAAGAAGTTTCACTCAAAAAAACAACTTAACTTCTCACAACAGAATTCACACAGGTGAGAAGCCATTCTCATGTGAGGCCTGTGGAAAATGTTTTCCCTCATAAAAAAAGTTTAACTGTTCACATGAGATCTCACACAGGTGAGAAACCTTTCTCATGTGGGATTTGTGGAAAAGGTTTCACTCACAACACAACTTAACTTCTCACAACAGAATTCACACTGGTGAGAAGTAGCTGTGCATTGATTTATCAGCTGGCTGATTAATAAATGTTGATTTTCTAAATTTTGGGACATTGGTGAGCAGCAGATATATGCATGTGAAGCTGATCTGATTCCTCAATGTTATTGACCTCAGCCACTGTTCTGTTCTCCGCTGTGAGGTTTGACTATTAGACCAGCTCACCATGTCATGTCTGCACCCTTAGTGAAAAGTGAGGAAAATGTTTTGTGTATAGATCCAGTTTAAGTCATCACATGAAGATTCACACGGGTTGGAAGCTTTTATTTTGTAGATTCATTAGAAAAAGGTTCACTCTAAATAATGTAACTGTTCACATGAGAACTCGCACAGGTTTGATGGCACAATGTGAACCTCAAGATTCTCAGTAAGTTGCTGTTTGGAAGTGGAGTAATTGCAACCGACTTAAATTCTTAAATGTAGCAGGTTTTGCTTACAAAGCATTTTAATCTGGATATTTAGCTGAAATTCTTAAAAATTTTATTCTTCCAGTTTTATATTTCCATTTTACTGAATGAGACTGAGGGAGAGATTGTCTAACAAACAATGAGTTTGAATGCTTTGAGATTTAGACTTCTGAAATTTTGGAGTCTTTATTGTGTTTTTATCCTTTGTACATATTTTTATTTTAATGATTTGGAGAAATGGATGCATTTCTTTGACATGGTTTTAAATAAATTTTCTGCTTACAAAATGGTTTGATGATGTGGATTGAATTTCAGAAAAAAAAATCATTGAAACCTTTCTATAATTTTAGATGATAAAGTATCATAATGATGGTCTTTTTCTATTTTTCTGTTTAGTCAAAGACTGTGACAGAATCGATTTACATAAACATAGAGACTGAAATAAAACCTGTTTGAAACAAATAGTAAATCAGGAAAACCTTCATGTATAAACAGTTAACTTCTCACATGTCATTAATTTGATTTCAGCACCTCTGAGATCTAGAATTATAAGGCTGAGATATCAAGGTAAACAAAGAGACCCAGTAGCTGCTGGTAGGGGCCCTCCAGACATTATTACAAAATATAAATAGAAACTGGTTTTATAACTTCAACATCAGACCTATGTTTTTATTCACAAGTGTACGTTAGAAAAAAAAAATTATTGCCCAAAAGTTGACTGTTAGAGGTCACAGTTCAGCCCCTCTTCCTCGCCACGGACCCGGTGTCTGAACAACGTGGAGGCAGAAGGACTGGGAATCCTCATAATTAGACCAAGGGCAGCCAGACTCATTAGTTTTGCTAGGTGTTATATTTAGAGGCACAAGAAGGCCTCCTGACACAAAAGACTCAAGTTGAAAACAAAAATAAACTCAAAAAGGGCTCTGGGGGCATCAAGGGTAAAAGGGGCAGGGCTCAAGCCCTCTCCAGACCCCCTCTGCATGTGCCTGCATATGAATGCTTGTCTTTCTAAGTTACCATCCAATAAAATATCTGAAAATACAATTTAAACGATGTTAGAAAAGTGGCACTGCAAACTCCGGCATTATTACTTCCTGCACCTCCTGGTTTTAGCTGTAGATTGTTGATCCACTTTTCTATTTTTAGGTGTTTTTTTCTAAATTAACTTCCTTGTGACCGACTACCTTCAAAACACAAAGATAAAGTTTTTCTTTCTCTCTATTAGAATGGTTGGAACAACCACACATGGCACAGACTTAAGACATTTTGATGTTTAAGTCAAAATGCCTAAATGTGCTGCATTTACTTTCTGACCCCCACCTCCATGGTAAGGCATCGGTGCTACATCATCTGAAACCCAGCAATTTATGGGAAAAAAGAATAATACACTGCTTTAAAATGTAAAATACTTTATTTCAAGTCATACATGTAAAAGTCAACAATGTAAAAGCTGAACTCAATAACTACATGACACAGAACTGCAAGACACCTGAAATCCACAGAAATTAAACCTTCCTGAAGACATTCCCCTCTTTAACTTCAGTATCTAATGGGACACTGATGGGAACCTTAAGTACAAATGTGACTGAGAAATAAAACAAAAAACTGATTTTAGAAAAACAAAGCTGGTAGACAAAAATGGACCTCAAGTCTATCTTAGTACAAGACATTCAGAGCATCGACTTGGCTTTGGATGAATGGATATTTTTGTGCAGAATTGGCATGGATTTAATTTATAAGTAAAGGTAAGATGGGAAAAAATGTTTTTGTTTAGTTTTTTTTAATGAAATGTGCATTTTGTGGGCCACAGTCTGTATGTCTAAAGAATTCAGTAAAGTAAAATGTTAGCTAATCTACCACAGCAATGATTTATTAATAAAACACTAAGACTAAAACAAACTACTGCAAAAAACTCAATGTTCTGTTCTGTGACCAAAATTCTTTCTTTTTTTATGTTAAATCCTAAAACATGGCATTGTTATCAGTTGCTATTGCAACGAGTCTGCATGTAGCTTGGGTGATGCAGAGTGAGAAAGTGGTTTAGGTTTCTCCCTTTGCTGTGGATCATAACACGAAACAATACCTACATTTCTAAGTTTCACCTGGTTACTACAGCTATGGATGACGTGTAAAAGAACGGTCTTTCTGCCCTCCAGCGTTGTATGCATGAGCAAAATTTCTGAGTAACCAATAACATACATGGTGTCTGTATTTATACATCGTAAAGCCTCACCGCACGTCACTGTTTCGCATCCATATGAATCTTTATGTGTTTAAGTAATTGTTGTTTCATCCTGAAACTCTTTCCACAGGTCCCACATGAGAAAGGCTTCTCACCTGTATGAATTCTCATATGCCGAGTTAAAGTCCCTCTGACACTGAAACTCTTTCCACAGGTCTCACACCAGAAAGGCTTCTCACCTGTGTGACTTCTCATATGCCGAGTTAAAGTAACTCTGTCACTGAAACTCTTTCCACAGGTTGAACAAATGAAAGGCTTCTCACCTGTGTGAATTCTCATATGCCTAGTTAAAGTCGTTTTTTGTCTGTAACTCTTTCCACAAGTCCCACATGAGAAAGGCTTCTCACCTGTATGAATTCTCATATGCGCAGTTAAATTCGCTTTTACACTGAAACTCTTTCCACAGGTTGAACAAGTGAAAGGCTTCTCACCTGTGTGAATTCTCATATGCCTAGTTAAAGTCATTTTTTGTCTGTAACTCTTTCCACAAGTCCCACATGAGAAAGGATTTTCACCTGTGTGAATTATCATATGCTGAGTTAAAGCCGTTTTTACATTGAAACTCTTTCCACAGGTCCCACAAGTGAAAGGCTTCTCACCTGTGTGAATTCTCATATGTTTAGTTAAAGTCCCTCTTTCATTGAAACTCTTTCCACAGGTTGAACAAGTGAAAGGTTTTACTCCTGTGTGAATTCTCATGTGTCTCTTCAAGTTACTGTTTCCAGAAAAGGTTTTATCACAAATTTACAAGAATGTATTTTTTGCCCTTTGTGAGTTTTCTTCTGCGGTTTTTGTTTTTCAGCATCAGTTCTGTCTTTCTGCTGTTTGGTTTTCTCATATCTCTCCTTTGGTTTCTGTTCTTCCTTTCTCTTTTTTCCTGGGTTTTCAGAATTGCTTCCTTCCTGATTCTGGTTCTCAGTTTCTGCAGAGCCATGAGAGATGAGTTGGTTCCTCTGTGGTTTTGTGTCATTGAGAATCTCCACTTCTTCACACACACAACATTGTGGAAGATCTGGGAAATAGACAAAAAAAAAAAAAGTTTTTTAAATGTCAATCAAACAAGAAATCCACTTTGATGCCTTCATGTATCGAAACAGGATTTTCTTAGGTTATTCTAAAATTACAATCTTACAAGAATGAACATTAACTCAACTAAGAAGTTAACGTTCTATGTTCTAGAACATTGGATGTTCTAGAATGGAACTATGACCAGAACTAGTTTCATTCTGGTCATAGCTCCATTCTAATGACCAGACTGGAACTATTCTTGAGTCAAAATATGATATTAAGGATCTCCAGGTGAGCAAATAAGATGGCAATAGCTTAATCTAGTAGCTTCCTGACAAATATTACATAAAATCTTCTTCCTCCATGTAGAGAGAGGAAGAAGACGCCTACATGGAGGAGTCAGATGTTCAGGTCACCTGACTTTTGGACATGTACCCTGACCACACACAGGTGTCGCAATCCGACTGGGATTGTGGACCAACGCTGGTGGTGATGCGGGCTGTGTGCCTGTAATGGGCGCAGGGGAAGTGCACCCATTATATGTCACCAGATATATATCACATTAAAGAGTGACATAAAATGCCTAAAGGGAAACCATAAAGTAATTTTTAACCTCACCGCTGATATTGTCAGACATTGCTCCGCTCACACACTCAACACAAACGTTCAAAAGCACTAAATCTCAGCCTTTACTTTCCTGGGATTCACAGCAGAATTGGTAGCAGTGGGTGATTGTTGTTAATCGCACACATGCAGAAAATAATGGCAAAATGAACCAATTGAAAATATTTGACATGAATATTGGACAATTTGGAAGATTAAATATGAAAGGTGAAAATGTACAATGATAAAATTATTTAACGAGTTTTATTTAAGACACAAGTTAGTTAATAAGTCATTTACTAAGTTTACATTATGAAAATGGAAACTTAGCAGCCAGACAAGACAGTTACTAAATATGCTTTTGATTGTTGTGATCATTATTATCACCTGGTTGCAGTTCCTGTCAGGTCACCATAAAATAATTCCCCAATGAAAGTGGAGGGCGGGGCTGTGGGCGGGTCTAACACTGACCTTCTTTAACTTAAATTTGAGCCGTTATTCTGTCAGAATAGCTGACATGCATTGAGTACAAATGAGCATTAAGAGGCGCTGTCAGCTCAGCATATGTGACAAGATACAAGAGAAAGTCAATAAATATTTTCTAGTGATAACTGGATGGATAGTAGCGTTGCTGTAAACAACTATTTCAGTAACTGAGTAATCTATTAATTATTCTTATGATTAATCAAGTAATCGGATTAAAAACGTATATAAAATAAAATATTGGTAAATCTGCTATAACACCAGTGTTACTATCAGATATCAATATCAATCCAGTTTTTCATATTGGAGCATCCCTAACAGTCATTTCTTTGTAGTTTAGAAAACTGACCTGTAACAATAACATCAAATAACATAACATTGGAAGATGCACATTCTAGGCTAAACAATCACAGAGAAGTTTGATAGGGGAATTAAAAAACTGTGTCGGCGATATTCAGGGTGCACAGTGGGTCAGGAGAGGAACCGCAGACCCCGTCAGAACCTAAAGAACCAGACATCAGTCTCTTCATCCCTCAGTGATAGAGACTGAGAAATAATATGAATGGCAATTTACAGAACAAATCATACAAATAGGTTAATAAATATTGCGAAGAGAAACCGACTCAGAGACAGTGCAATAATATTAGCCTGCATGATCTTTTCCTCTCAGGTTAGGGCTCTGCTTTGCTGCACAAGCATCAGCCTTTTCCCTGCAATAAGCTTCTAGCTATTTTTATTACTTATTAGCCATGTTTAGGACCCTGAATGCAGGAAGTCAATGTAAGACAACATTGTAATGATGCCCCACATGCTACTAGCAGCATTTAGGCTAACATTAGCATTTTGGCTCATTTTAGATTATACACTAATTTTAACAAACTGAATGGAGGAAGTCCATGTTAGTCAACATGTTTGTGACTTTCCACAGGCTATTGACTATAATTCAGTTTAGCTGAGCATTGATGCTAATTGTTAGAATCAGAGCGCTGGGTCCAAACTGGGGCCACACTTTAGCAGGCCCTGGTTACATTTCTCCAGGGATTTTCTATTTTTACTTAATTTAAGCAGATTCTTTAAATATGTCTACGAACACAACGATTATTTATCTGTAAAAACTGTCTTTAACCTCACTAATCAGTAAACCGTGAAGATGTTTTTCGTACCTATCCGGTGCAAGATGATCTTGGGTATCCGGGTAAAATCCATCAGTCTGCGCTGATCGTCCATCTCTTCCTCCATCTTAACGTTGATTTCTTTCCACTCTGTGAATGTTTCTTCAGCAGGAGTTTCCTGCTGCTTGATAAACTCTCTGAGGCTGAACTGAAGACATTTTCACTGAAAACACGGAAAAAATTAGTTGAACCTCAAACTCTTCTCCAAAGGAAAAGCTAAAGCGAGCCCGCGTGCTCTGTTTTCATCTTCCCCGCCTTAATCTTCTTCTTCTTCTTCTTCTTCTTCTTCTTCTTCTTCTTCTTCTTCTTCTTCTTCTTCTTCTTCTTCTTCTTCTTCTTCTTCTTCTTCTTCTTCTTCTTCTTCTTCTTCTTCTTCTTCTTCTTCTTCTTCTTCTTCTTCTTCTTCTTCTTCTTCTTCTTCTTCTTCTTCTCTTCTTCTTCTTCTTCTTCTTCTTCTTCTTCTTCTTCTTCTTCTTCTTCTTCTTCTTCGAGTGAGAGGAGGGTGTGTGAGGAGGAGCGGAGGAAGAGTGAAAGCAAGAGTGATTGTATATCTTTTCTTTATCTTTTTCTTACTGTTTTTCTGGGTGTTTAGTTTACTTGTTTAATTGTTTTTTCTTGTGTTTAGTTTTATCACGTTTTAAGGGGTTTTTGTTCGTTTGTTTGGGGTGTGGCCGTCGGGCGTGCCTGGCTTGCCGGCGTCTGACGGCAACAATGGTGGGTGTTGTCGGTGGTGGGTCTTTCTCCACGCTGACACGGAAGAACGGCATCAAGGTGGGTGCTGGTTCTCCGTGCAGCGTGGAGGAAGTTTGTTTGGCGGTGGGTGAGATCATTGGGCACGGGAATATAAAGTCGGCTGCACGTATGAATGGGGCAGTGGTGTTGTTTGTGGAGAAGGTGGAACATGCACAGCAGGTGGTGGAAAAGGGTGTTTCGGTGAATGGGTTGTTTTTACAAGTTTCACCGCTCACGTTACCATCAACTAAGATAATGTTGTCAAACGTACCTCCTTTCATCAGTGATGAATTTTTGATTAAAGAACTGTCGAGACACGGAAAGGTGGTGTCGCCGGTGAAAAAAGTCCTTTCCGGGTGTAAATCACCGCTATTGAAACATGTTGTTTCTCACCGTAGACAGTTATTTATGATACTGAACAGAAAGGATGAGGAAATGAATTTGCGCTTCCACGTTAGAGTGGATGATTTCGACTATGTTTTGTTTGCCACATCAGGCAGATGAAATGTTTTGGTTGTGCAGGAGGGCCACATCATAAAGATGTGCCCTGATAAGGCAGAACTGGCCAAGCCGGACTCGGAAAAGCAGCACCCGTTGCCGCTGAGCAGGGTAAAAAAACAAATAGTGAGGAGGATGTTGTGGAGGGAGACACTGCTAATGTTGCGGCGGGAGAACCCGCCGCTGCTGCTGCTGGCGCGACTGCCGCTGCGGGGGAACCAGCGGTGGTAGAGGAGGATGTGACAGGAACATTGTTAAAGAGGCGGTGGGACGGTGGTAATGGTGCGAGTATAGGAGAGGATGAGAGCACGGTGGTGTGTGGTGATGGGCTGAATGGTGGTGTGGGTGGAAGTGTAGGGAAGGAGAGTGATGGTGTGCAGAAAGAACAGGAGGATGTGAGGGTGATGAGGAGCATCGAGTGTGTGGAGATCAGAGCGAGGGGAGAGAGGTTCAGGGGGAGAGACAGGTACAAAGAAAAGACGGTGTGAGTCGTTTATAGTGGCTGGAGTGGAGGGAGAAACAGGTGAGGTGGAGGAGGAAATGGAGCTTGAAGCTTGTGTCCCGGTGAAACGGCGCAGCAAGAGGAAAAATGTGGTGGCTGCTGTGCAGGCCAGTAAGAAGGAAAGTAAGTCGGTTGTGGAGAAGAGAGAGGGATCGGACAGCAGTGATGAAGAGAGTTATTTCTCAGATACCAGTGAAGCTTCCGTATCTCAGACGAGTAGAGAACCGAGATACCCGGTTGAAACATTTAGAACCTTTTTAAAACAAACAAAAGGTCTCAGAGGGATAAAACTTGAGAGCTATTTCCCAAATTTAAGACTTTTCTATTTTTCCGCAAGGCATCACATTAGACATAAAGAGGACTCAGGTTTCACAGACACAGAATTTTTAGGTTAAAGAAAATAATGTCTAAAGCCAGAAAACAATTTTTATGATGTACAGTTTTTTTAATATCTATTTTAATGTTTCGGTGTGTTTGTTTTAGCCTTTTACCTAAGATGGATTCATTTAAAATAGCATCCT